CCTCGCTCATCGCCAGCGCCTCAGCAAGCCCGATCACAGTGGGGAAATCCGTGTCCTCCAGGCCAGTGGCTAGCCCTGAGGAGCTGGAAGGGACTAGGGCGTTTCCGGAGGGGTCGAGGGCGGGGGAGGTGGACGGGGTAATGTTTGCTGCTGCTGCTGCTGCTGCTCCGGTGGTGCATGTGGAGCTGCAGGGCTCGAGGCACCTTTCATGCTGTTCCTGCTGTTGCTGTTGCTGCTGCTGCTGCTGCTGACGCCTTTTCTTTCGAGAAAGCTGCTGCGCCGGCTGCTGCTTCCCCTGCTGCTGCCTCTGCTGCTGCTGCTGGGGTTGCTGTTGCTGCTGCTGCTGCTGCTGCTGCTGCTGCTGCTGCTGCTGCTGCTGCTGGGGTTGCTGTTGCTGCTGCTGCTGCTGCTGCTGCTGCTGCTGCTGCTGCTGCTGCTGCTGCTGCTGCTGCTGCTGCTGCTGCTGCTGCTGCTGCTGCTGCTGCTGCTGCTGCTGCTGGGGTTGCTGTTGCTGCTGCTGCTGCTGCTGCTGCTGCTGCTGCTGCTGCTGCTGCTGCTGCTGCTGCTGCTGCTGCTGCTGCTGCTGCTGCTGCTGCTGCTGCTGCTCATCCCCCGCTACCTCACTCCCACCAGCCGCTGATCCCGTCAGGGCCGGCAATCCAGCAGCACCCGCCACCATCCCACTCCCATCCATCCCATCCATCCCTCCTCCCGCCGACGCAGCAGACAGCGCGGCCAGATGCTGAGACCGCCGCCTCTCCAGCACCATCACCATGGCCTGCTCCCCAAACGCCCCTCTTGCCACCGCTCGTTCAAACACCGCCTGCGCGTTCCCCCGCAGACGTGGCAGCGTCAGCATCTCCATCAGCATGTCCACGTCAGCAACACGCCAGCAGGCGGCGGCTGCTGCTGCCATGACAGCAGCCTGCTGTGCGGCTGCCAGCTGGAGCTCTGCTGCTGCCGCGGCAGCTGCGGGGGAGGACGTGGGAAGAGCGGGGGCGGGGGAGGAGGCGTAAGGGGAGAAGGCGGCCATAGCGTTTGCACTCAAGCCAGCAGAGCTGCTGCTGGTGAAAGTCCCTCCAGGAGAACCCCCTCCCAACGCCCCAGCAGAAACGCTACCCCCTCCCCCTACCCCTCCTAAACCACTACCCCCACTCGCCACCACCCCTGCACTCCCCACTCCAGCCGCCGCAGCCGCCACTGCCGCCGCCGCCGCAGCAGCAGTCCCACTGTTAGCCGAGGCCGACGCAAACGCAGCGAGGCTCTCCAGAGCCTCGGGATCGTGAGCGAGTGCTGCAAGTGGGAGAGGTCTATCTGCCCCATAGACGCCACCTGTGCCATGGGCAGCAGCGAGGGGAGGGAGGCCGCAGCTGCAGCCATGGCGGAGGAGAGGAGATGCGGGTTGAAGGGGCGTGTGTCGGCGTCTATGTCGCGAAGCATGGCCATGGCTATGTCTTCGCGGGCGACTACGGAGGCCCGCAGGGCGTGGAGTACGCGTGGGGAGACGGCGGGACCCAGCTGCTGCAGCCGCTCCCGCACTGCCCGCACCTGGGAAAAGAAGGGTGGGAGAGGAGGAATGGGGAGGGTGGAGGGAAGAGAGACAGGAGGGCAGAAGGGGAAAAAGAGGGCGGGTTGAAGGGGCATGTGTCGGCGTCTATGTCTCGCAGCATGGCCATGGCTATGGCCCCCCAGGCTACCACTGATGCACGCAGGGCGTGGAGTACACGCGGGAAGACTGCAGGACCCAGCTGCTGCAGCCGCTCCCGCACTGCCCGAACCTGGGAGAGGGGAGAGAGAAGGGAGAGGGCGGAGCAGAGAGCGGCAGCACAAAGCACGAAGCTCAGAAGGGCAGCAGCTTACAGCGGCAACAACAGCCAGCTTATACAGAGGATAACACTTGAGGAAGGAGCTTTTAGATGGGACGTGCTGCTAGCACTCTGCTGCAGCTTCAAGCACAAGGCCTTAAAGAGATAACGACAGACAGCTTATACAGAGGACAGGAAAAGGAGAGCACAGCAGGGTCAAGCTGCTGGCACTCGGCCGCAGCTCTCAGCACAAAGCTGGGGGCAACAGAGGCCTACAGCAGCAAGCTTATACAGAGGATATCACTAAAGCAAGCAGCTTACAGCGGGGGCGAGTTGCTGGCACTCGGCTGCAGCTTTGAGCACGAAGCTGAGGGCGGCAGCAAGGGCGTCATCGGTGGTGTGTGGCAGCAGCAGCACTGCCTCCTCGAGCACCAGCGACCAGGTGAGCGGGTCTAACTCCATTTGTACCAGCGCTCCCACCACCTGAGAGGGAGAGGGAACAAAGGGTGGCACGCAGTGAGCATTTATTGAGCGCCTAAGGAGTCTGATCATCACACGCCGCAGCAGCAGCAGCAGCAGCAGCAACACTGCCTCCTCGAGCACCAGCGACCAGGTGAGCGGGTCTAGCTCCATCTGTACCAGCGCTCCCACCACCTGACATGCACACAGGGAGAGGGAGCAAGAGAGCAACGGGAAGTGCACAAGGAGTATTGTATCAGAAGCCGTGCCATCACATGCAGCAGCAGCAGCCACCGCCTCCTCGAGCACCAGCGACCAGGTGAGTGGGTCTAGCTCCATCTGCACCAGCGCTCCCACCACCTGATAGGGAGAGGGAACACACAGTGAGCATTTATTAAGCGCCTACGGAGTCTGGTCATCACACGCAGCAGCAGCAGCAGCAGCAGCACCGCCTCCTCGAGCACCAGCGACCAGGTGAGCGGGTCTAGCTCCATCTGTGCCAGCGCTCCCACCACCTGACAGGGATACTGAGAGGGAATGCGGGGCAGTGAGAGGGAAGGGAAGCAAGCAAGGAGCACTGTTTGGGCGCCTTAAAGTTGTCACATAATGTGCAGCAGCAGCAGCAGCAGCAGCACCGCCTCCTCCAGCACCAGCGACCAGGTGAGTGGGTCTAGCTTTTGAGGCGCCTCAAAACGGGTCTAGCTCCATCTGTACCAACGCTCCCACCACCTGAGAGAACGGGCAAAACAAGAGGTGGACAATCAGCCACTCGTGCACGCATTATCCTTACCTTACTCACCACCCCGCACTACCTTTGTCAAGACTCCCAATCTACACCCCACACCAATCCAGAACCGGCATCCAAGCAGCAAAACCAAAGTGGCACGAATTGAAGTAGCAATGCAACCCATCGGCAGCTGCATCATAGGCTCGGCGCCGGACTGCCGGAACCGCTGCAGCAAGGTGACTAATGAGTTGAGTCAATTTAAGAGCGGCCTGATTTCCAATCGACTCAAAACTGCCATCCACCACAAGAAACGCAGCCCAAAGCAACACAGCACAACCCACCGGCAGCTGCATCATAGGCTCGGCGCCGGGCTGCCGCAGCCGCTGCAGCAAGGCCACTCTTGAATCAACTCAGCAAGTCACCTGGTTTGAGATCAGCTCTAATGCGGCATGGTCCATGGATACCAGCGACGGAACACAGCGCGACTCACAACACACCACAACCCACTCACCGGCAGCTGCATCATAGGCTCGGCGCCAGGCTGTCGCAGCCGCTGCAGCAGCGCCGCAGCAGCCTCGCCATGCTCCTCCACATCCACCAGCCTCGGCACCAAGCCTAGGATCTCGGCTTGGAAGGCCCGGGGCGCATGCTCCAGCACCATCGCCACCTTGCGGGCGGAGTGCGGGCGGCGCCGCAGCGGCGGGTCTGGGTATGGGTAGGCCTGCGCTTGCGGCACGGCGGTTTCGAGAGCTCGGAGCGAGTCTACTATGATGCCCAGCAGCTCGTCTGCCTGCTCCGGCCATTTGATCTGTGGGGGGAAGGCAGGAGAAAAGAGGGGAAACGTGGGTGAGGAATAGTGGGGGGTGGTTGTAAGGGAGCGGAGCGAGTCGACTATGATGCCTGGCAGCTCATCTGCCTGCTCCGGCCATTTGATCTGTGGGGAGAGGGGGGCGCGGAGGAGAGAGAGGGGGGATGATAAGTGAGGGTGGGTGGATACGGGTGGTTTCGAGGGCTCAGAGCGAGTCGACTATGATGCCCAGTAGTTCATCTGCCTGCTCCAGCCATTTACTCTGTGGGTGGCGAGAGAGGGCAGGGAGGGAGAGAAGAGTGGAGAATGGGTCAAAACGGGAGGGACGGATCATGGGAGTGGCGGAGAAGGGGTGAAAAACAGGGAGGGCAGGGTTGCAAGGGAAGGGAAGTGAAAGGGATGGATGGAAATTGGAATGTCAAAGAGCGTGCATTGAAGCGTGGTGAAAAACACTCAAGGCGGGGGCAAGGGGAAGGCCTGCGGCGAGGAATGGAATTTTACAGTTAGCAAGGCGTACCGATGTGGGAAGCTGTCGCTGCCCCCTCTGCTGCTGCTGCTGCTGCTGCGCGCTCTCTCCATTCACACTCGTCACTGCAGACCCACTACTGCTGCTCTCCCCCTCCGCAACAGCATTTACTCTCCCCCCCGCGCCCTTACCCCCCACTTGCGTGCCAAACCCTTCCCCAGCACCACTCCCCGTCACAACCCCACTACTACTGCTGCTGCTGCCACTTCCCCCTGATCCCAACACCCCCCCTGCTGCCCCCGCGCTCGCTCCCTTCCCTCCTCCCCCACTGCTTGTGCTGCTTCCGCCCCGCCGTCCCCCCCCACCCCCATTAACCCCGTATCCGCTGCCATAGCTGCTGCTCTGCACGGCCGCGTCGGATCCCCCCGCTCCCCCGTGCCCCTGCTCTAGCCTCTGCGCCACTGACAGCTCCTGGAAAGCGGAATCCGCGGCGTCTCTCCGCCCCCCTGACGCGCCACCCGCGCCCCCGCCCCCCCCGCGCTTCCCCTCGCGGGTGGCGGGGGCGGAAGCGGGGGCTGATGCGGGGAGGGATGGCGGAGGGGTGCAGGCGGAAGGGGCGAGCGGAGGCGTGGTGGCGGAAGGGAGGGGGACTGGAAGGGTGGGGAGGGAGGTTGCAGTGTCGTCTGATGGTCGGTGATGGACAAAGAGATGCAGCATAAGTCGTGCACACACAGACATACACATGCACGCATACACACCCAGGTGCACAGACACGCACATGCACGCACAATCACACACACGCACACAGGAAAACGGAGACACAGAAGCAACGCGGTGACGTCAGTGGTGGGAGACTGCGTCAGAAAAAGCGAAGCACATATGTGAGGCACATATGCGAGGCACACAAAATTCCGTGTGAACTCAGATCCACAATGGCCCACAGCACATTCACCCCTATCAGCAGATTCCCCAAACCACTCGTCACCACTCACCACCTCTCACGACCCCTCCCCACCCCTCGTCACTCCTCACCTGTGCCATATAGGCGCTCAGCGCCTGCATCGCCCTGGGAGGGGGCGCATTGCTGGCAGCACTCGATCATGATATCCAACAGAAAATCCACTAACCCCACCACTCCTCACCATTCCTCAACACCCATCACCGTTTACTCACCTGTGCCAAAGAGGCGACCGGCGTCTGCATCGCCCTGGGAGGGCGCGCGTTGCTGGCAGCACTCCGTGATATCCAGCAGCAGATCCACTATCCTCACCACTCCTCACCACTCCTCACACCCGCTCACCTGTACCGAAGAGGCGGCCTGTGTCTGCATCACCCTGAAAGGGCGCGCGCTGCTGACAGCACTCGACCATGATATCCAGCAGCAGATCCACTAACCTCACCACTCACCACTTCCCACCACTCGTAACCGCTCACTCACCTGTGCCAAAGAGGCGGCCAGCGTCTGCATCGCCCTGGGATGGCGCGCGTTGCTGGCAGCACTCGACCATGATATCCAACAGCAGATGCACTAACCTCACCACTCCTCACACCCGCTCACCTGTGCCAAAGAGGCGCCCAGCGTCTGTATCGCCCTGGGAGGGCGCGCGTTGCTGGCAGCACTCCACCATGATATCCAGCAGCAGATCCACTATCGCCTGCTGCAGCACCTTCACCCCCATCAGCAGATTCACCAGCGACGGATGCTCCCCCTCCCCCTGCCCCTGCCCTTGCCCCTGCGCTCCGCCCTGTCCCTGCGCCTGCCCCTGCGCTCCCCCCTGCTCCTGTCCCCCCCGGCCCTGGTTCTGCCCCCGCTGCTGCCCGCCCCTGCCCCCCTTCCCGTACCCGCCTCTCCCCCCCGCGCCAGACGCGCCGGCCGGGGCGGAAGCGGAAGCAGAGGCGGAGGAGGCGGAGGCGGGCTGCGCGGGGGGGAGGAAGAGGCGCTTGATCTTAGTAGGGTCGTCCAGGTAGGTGCGCAGGCCGCCCAGGAAGGTGGCCACTGCGCCCGCATCCATGAGTAGCTTCTCCCGCAGCGTCACCTGCAGCTGCGTGGGATCCAGCAGCAGAGGGGAGCTGTCCCCGTAGCTCAGATGGAACCCCGCGCGCACCAGCAGCGAGCGGAAAATATCCTCCTCGTCCCCCATCAACCCCCCCGCCGCCCCCGCCGCTGTCCCTCCCGTCACAACCCCAGACGAGCCCCCCCCACCACCAGAAGCAGCGGCAGAAGCAGCAGCAGAGGCAGCAGCGGATGCGGCAGCAGCAGCAGAACCAGCGGAAGCAGGCTGGGCAAGGGAGGAGGAGGAGGAGGCCGCAATTGCCCCCAGCCCTGCTGCACCCCCTGGTCCCCCTGGTCCTCCCAGGCCCACCTCCCCATCGTCACTGTCTAGCAACTCTTCCCCGTCTGTGCTAAGCCCGTCCCCATCCTCGTCCTCCTCCTCCTCCTCCTCCTCCTCCTCGTCTTCCTCCTCGTCTGACATCATCACCTGCCCAGGCACGCCCTGTGTGTGGGCGGGGGGGGAAAAAACGGAAAATGGGGGTTATGGAACTTAATTCCGTGGTTACCCTCCCATTCCGCTTCCCCCTTAACGTCTTCCTCCAGATTCAGAGCGTTTTGAGCGTTCAGATTTCTAGTGTTTAATATGAATTGCAGGGCGTTAACAAGTGAGAACTCACATATATACTAGCGCGACCTCAAAGTACTCACGAGTGCAAAATAGAGGTTTTATTTATCATGTGCAAAATGACAGTTTCTTTGTGTGCAAATGTGACAACCGTTACAAAGTACGAAACCGAAGTAGCTGACAACAAACCCCGCGTTTCATACTTTCACACCATCAGCATTTGCCAAGACTAGGGAAAGGAATCCTAACCGCGTATCTCCTTCCCTGCCCCCTGCTAGGATTCAACTGAACGCGCCAACAGAACCCTCTAACCAAACCCTCCACCCGCACGCTGACCTGCGCACACTCACCCTCTAACCAAACTCCCTACCCCCCACTACTTACCCCCCCAACCCCCTACCCCCAACCCCCTCCCCACAACCCCGTACCTTGCACACCCTCTCTCACCTCGAGATCCGAGAACTCGAACCAGGGGCAGCAGTCGAGGATATCACACACAAACAGCACGGTATCGCGCACCCAAAAACCACTACCCCCTGCCCCACTGCTCCCTGCCCACTGCCCACTGATCCACACCCACCCGATCTCCACACCCCTCTCACCTCAAGATCCGAGAACTCGAACCAGGGGCAGCAGTCGAGGATATCACACACGAACACCACGGTATCCCGCATCAGAAACCCGCCTTCCGGGTCCAGCAGCTCCGCGACCTTCATGAGCTGCAGCACGCTGTTGTTCCACGTGCGCGTGCACACACTCGCCTCCTTCCACACGCTCGCCTCCGCGGCCTTCTGGTTCACGATGCCGATCTTGTAGCGCACCCAGAAGTTCTTGTCCATGTCCGTTGCCGCCATGGTGGTGGCTGTGGACGGGCCCGCGCCCGCCATCGCCTGATCGCTCTCCAGGTAGATGCACAGCGTCTCAAACGACTCGTACACGCCTATAGAGTGGGTGGTACGGGAAGAGGGATTGGAGAAGGAGGGGGAGGGGAGGGGGTAGTGGTGCGGGGGGCGGGAAAGGATAGGGTTTGAGTCGTAGACACGAAGAACTGTGCGAGGGGGATTCAAAGACTTGGGTCAGCGCCAGCCGATCTGGTGTGGTGACTTTCCAGAGAGACGTAGTGGGGGGCGTGTGGCGCATAGAAGGTGGCGCATAGTGTGGATGAAACCCTAACGAGAGCCAGAGGGAGAAAAAACCGGGTGCGGGATAGGGGAAAGAGGAAAGGGGGAAACGAAGCGAGGGAATGAGGGGAGGCGGGGGGGGGGGGGGGGGTGGGTGGGGAGAGGAGGGGTTGAAACGGACGGAAACAGCAATGCGAATCAGCGAGTGAGTGAGAGTGAGAGTGAGAGTGAGCGAGCAGGAGGAGCGCGCGCACCAATGCGGAGGTCGCAGCCGCCCGCAGAGAAAAACTTGCTGAAGACCTTCCTCGTCTCCATGATCTCCTTGAACGCCAGGAAATTCAAGTTTCGAGACACCCTAAAAGAGTTTTGACTCTTAAGATGACTTGAAACAAGAGACGCTTCAAAACGCACCAATGCGTAAGTCGCAGCCGCCAGCGGAGAAGAACTTGCTGAAGATCTTCCTCGTCTCCATGATCTCCTTGAACGCCAGGAAATTCTCCACCTTCCACGTGAACACGCCGCGCTTCGCGATCTTATTCGCGCCCGTCACGTCCATGGCGCCCCCCGCGATCAGCTGCGCCGTCCCCGCGCCCCCTATCCCCACCAGCCCCGCGGGGGACGCCGCCCCCTCATCCGTATACTCAAACAGAAACGACGACTCCTTCAGTATAAGCACCTCCGCGGAGAACACCACAGTATCCGATACAAGGAACCCCGAGTCTAGGTCGAAGAGCGAGGTGAGGGTAACGAACTCGCGCCAGCCCCAGTCTTTCGCGGCCTTGCTGTAGCGGTTCTGCGACTCCTTGGCGACGCACCGGTCCTCCTGCCGCTGGTTGACGACGGAGAGGCGGTGGCTCACGAAGCAGCTCCAGTCGGCGGCTGGCACGCGCGAGTCCGTGACCTCGAGGAACATGGACAGGTGGCACGGCGGCTGCGACTGGCCTGCGCGGGTGAGCGGCGGAGGAGGAATAAGGGGACACGGGGGGGAAGCAGGGGGGTTACGGGGCGGATTGGGGTGAACATGAGGTATGGGAAGGCACGCAATGAAGGTAGAGCACACGCGCGAGTCCGTGACCTTGACGAACATGGACAGGTGGCACGGCGGCTGCGACTGGCCTACGCGGAGGCGCGGGGGGAGGGAACAGAGGCGCGGGCAATGGAGGGGACAGACGGCGGTGCGAGGGGATGGGGGGGTCGTGAAGGGGGGGGATGGGAGGAGGATAAAAGCGCGGGATAACGGCGGAAGAGACGGCGCAACGAACACAAAATTGGGAAAGGGGGAAATGTACGTAAACGCGGAGAACGACAAGCCGAAATTCGCCACAGAAGTAATCACCCGACGAAACCCTACTACATCCAGTGTACACCTCACAGCTAGCGCACACATCACAAGCAGTGCACACGGCACGCGCAGCACAACCGTACCTCGCGGGTAAACAATGAGGCGGCAGTCGCGCCCGCCGACCTGGAACCGCTTGCTCTTGATGCACAGCCCCGTGATCTTGCGCTTCTTCAGCAGGTCCTTCAGCCGCGTGAAGTTATCGATCCGCCACACGAATTTCCCGAAGTACCCGTCGCCCTTCTTCACGTTGCTGCCGCGCCCGCCCGGCAGCGATGGGTTCTTGGAGAACGTGCTCGACTCCTTGATGACGTGGAACGACGCGCTGAACACGGCCGTATCGTCCACGAGATACCCGGCAGTCGCGGAAACAAAATCCGCCATGCGCATATAGTCGTTCCACCCCAGACTCGTGTTGTCTCCGCTCTTGTTGTCCGCGGCGAATCGGCCGTACGAGTCCCTGTGCACGTGGTTCGATCCCGGCCGTTGATTCAGCACCGACATGCGGAACAGGCACCAGCAGCTGCGCTCCGGGCCGGATGACTTATCGACGTCTTTACTCTCGAGGCACATGGAGAGGTAATCGACGTTGTTGACGGACGACTGGTAGACGCTCAGACGGAGGTTGCAATCCCCGGCGGGAAACACGGGACTCATGATCTTCTGCGTCTTAATCATCTCCTTAAACAGCGAGAAGTTGTGGACTTTCCACGAGAATTTCCCGCTAACAACCTCCCCGGTAGCGGGAGTAATCGACGAAGCGAGCACCTCGTTGTCGCGCGAGAATGACACGGACTCGTTAAGAATGAGAATCTCCGCCGTTATAAGCACCGCGTCGGTCATCAGAAACCCCGCGCGGGAATCCAAAACGATCGACGACGGCGTGAAGTCGCACCACCCGTGCGACTTCTTCTTCCCCGAAAACCGGTGCCACGAATCCCGCTGCACCGTTTTGCTGTCATCTTTCACGTTCACGACGCAAAGCCGGTAGCTCGCGAAGCAGTCCCACTTGCTACTAGCCGTCCCGCGCGGGTCCGTGAGCTGCAAATAAATGGATATGTACCCCGGCAAAGCCTGCGAATCGCCTTTCGGGTATACGAGCAGCCGGCAGTCGAACCCCCCTACTTCGAAATACTTGCTCCAAAGCGCGCGCGCCTTGACTTTCCCGAACTGCGCGATGGTCCATTTGCAGATTGCCGCGTGGTCGCCCTTGCGCTCTACCACCACGGACTCCTGACCGGCCTCCTTGGGATCATCTATGCTCTCGTTGCCTCGCAGCTGGACCTTGTCGCTGCGAGATCCGGGCAATGTGCCTTCTGAGTTGATCTGACACGCCGTCGCTCCTGATTCTTCCGCCTTCCTCATGATTCCTCACTAAGAAAATCCGGATGACTAGATTTACGAGAATCTAATCAAAAGAACCTAAAAATAAGGAAACATTACGGATGGCTTAATTGAATGGTGAGCCTACCACTGTCAGACCCTGCTACGCGGAAACCTAATTTTGAGCACGATAGAACAAAAACGGCTATCTGGAAGGTCAAACACGATTTACGGCGACGAGGCTGAAGCCTTCAAAATCGAAAAAGCTCGAAGCTAAGAAACAATAAAAAACTCACTGTCCCGCAACTAAAGACACGGCGCAAGATCCGCCGCGACAACTAATCTACACCCTGAAAGCGTAAAAACTCTCTTATTCCAGATCTGCTAATGAGATAAGGAGCGGGAGGAGGAGGAACGACAAAGTACCAAGTAAACCAGAAACCCTAACTCGGCTCCCTCAGATGGTGTTCTGGGGAACGACTCAACTCAACCTGATGAGTGCCTGCCGTGCCACGTATTCCTCTCCCTCGGGATTCCCTGCAAACGGATCACCCCCTCATCCGTCTGTCCACCTCTGCCCGCCAGATCCCTCTGGGGCAGGTGGAAGGGAACGGAACGGAACGGAGTCTCTGTGGGAAAGCAACCACGCGGGACGGGTCTCGCTCGGTCATTCGTCCGTCAGTGGTTGCCGGTTCGTAAACGGGAAACCTTCGCGAAGAACTAGAAAGTCAGAACGAGCCTTCGCGGTAGCCATCATATTCGCCATGGAATGTTCCGCTGTTACATCGGCTCTCCAAAGCATATCAGGGTATGTCGACCATTCTTCCCTGGTAAAAAACATTCATTTTACAGCAAAATCATGAAGTACAGTAAACATCACCTGTGACACTCGCAAAAACGAAGGAGCACAAAAAGCAGGCCGCATTAATACCCGCGGGCCAGGAAGCTTGGTTGGGGCGAGCGATACAATTGGTCAAGACTTCGGGTGCGAGAGCCAAACCCAACCGAGGTTAGGAAAGTTGTGCTGCAATCAGAAGTTGATCGTCTCTAGGATCACCTCGTGAAGGTTCGCACACAACTGATTGGTAGTGGGCCCTTGACCTCAATTCAGAGTGGATGTAAAATGATTGAGATGCTTAAAACATGCAAATACAGGGATATCAATAAGAGTACAAGGTGGAATACAAAACGACCTAGCTAGCCATGTACTCTAAGCGGTACATTCCCTTATCGCAGCGAAACTCAACCGTGCGACTCTAGACGGTTACGAACTGCCTGGGCAGAATCCTCGCCACTGCTGCTGCCGGATGCCATCTGCCTTGACGGTCCAGATGCTTCGTAACAGTACGACCTTTCGCGTCACTTCCGCCTTTTCGTCTTCACACTCGGTGCTGCGATTAGAAGTTGATCGTCCCTAGGATCACCTCAGGAAGGTTCGCACACAACTGAGTAGTGGTGGTGGGCCCTTGACCTCAATAGCAGAGTGGATGTAAAATGCTTGAGATGATTAAAAATGCAAGTACAAAAGTATAAATAAGAGTACAGGAAGGAATACGAATCGACCTAGCTAGCCATGTACTATAAGGGGTACATTCCCTTATTACAGCGAAATCCAACCGTGCGACTCCAGGACAGTTACGAAGCTGTCCGGGCAGAATCCTCGCCACTGCTGCTGCCTGATGCTGTCTGCCCGACGGTCCAGAACCTTTTCGCAACCGTACGATGCTTTGCGTCACTTCCGCCTTTTCGTCTTCAGCTTTGGTAGTGCATGTTTCGATTGCTGCGGTAAGGAGTGCACAGTGATGCTTCAATAATCACTATTCGTAACACCCCCCTTCACTCCTGGCCGTAGCGAGTCTTGACCCGCTTGACTACTCCGCTGAGTTCGGAGCAGTGCTGGTGCTGCTGACGTGACACCTTCTTCGTGAGAAAGTCAGCTGCCATGTCACCCGTCGGACAATAGGTGAGGTCAACCTTGCCCTTGTCAACTTCGTCTTTGACGATGAAGTACCGCAGCGCGACGTGTTTGGTGCGGTTGACGAATCCAGGCTTGCTCGCGATCTTAATCACGCTCTGGTTGTCAAAGTGTAGGCAGAAATTCGGTGAAGCCGGAATTTTTGCCTCTTGCAGCAGCTCCTGAAGGTAGAGAGGCCTTCGCAATCAGCTGCTGTTGCTGCGATGAACTTGGCCTCCGCTGATGACAGGGCAACCAGCTCCTATTTCTGTAAATTCTAGGAGATGGGACCGCTGGGCTCGAGGCGAAAAAGGAAGCTTGTCCTGGACCGTCGATTGTCGGGGTCTGCAGCATGATCAGCATCCACGTAGCCGATGAGGTTAAAGGACGCGGCTGGGATGGTGGAGTAACAGAGCCCAACATTGGGCGTGGAGATGAAGAACTGGAGTGCCCGCTAAAAATCTAGCAGATTCTCAGCCGTTGGTTTGCGAGAGTACTGAGCCATCTGGCTCGCGATGTAGGAGAGATCGGGCCTGCAGGTAACAGAGGCGAAGAGTAGGCATCCCAGCTGCTGCTGGTAGGTGTGAAGCCCAGCAAGGGACAGGGCTTTGTTGTCAGGCTTGTGGTTGGGTCCTGGAGTGCGGTAAGGGGTGGAGAGTGGTGCAGGTGCAATGTTGAAGCGCTTGCCAAGTTCCTCTGCATACTTGGCTGCTGAAAGGTGAATGGATTATGGCGAGTAGGAGATGTCGAGCCCGAGGAACTGCTTCACGTCGTGGTTGCAGGTAATATCGACGCGCCCCGCGAGGTTCTTCTCGAACTGCTCAAGCAATTCGTTGATTGACCCTGTGTAGAGGAGGTCGTCGACGTAGACCGTGAGTAGAATGTATTCGCTGCGGAAATCGCGGCGATACATCCCGGGATCACGAGGCAGCTGTTTGAAGCCTATCTTGAGCAGGATGTTGTGCAGGTACTGCTGCCAGAACCTTGGCGCTTGTTTAATCCCGTAAAGGGACTTTCGCAGCTGGCACACGCGTGAGTCTCCCTCAACGTATGTATGCGGCTGCTCCACGTAGATTACAGCATCTACTAACGCATAAAGGAACGCGTTCTTCACATCAATCTGTCGGAGCGGGAGGTGTCGTGCAGCAGCGATGGCGAGGAGGATTCTGACGGAGGTGTGACGGCTGACCGACGCAAACGTCTGGTCGAAGTCGATGGCGTGCCTCTGGTCGTAGCCACGTACAACCCAGCGCGCCTTGAATCGTTCAATCGTGCCGTCCGCTGCGGTTTTCACGCGGAACACCCATTTCCCTGAGAGAATCCTTCTCCCCTTGATTGCCGCTCGATCGACGAGCACCCAGGTGTCGCGAGACTCAAGTGCCTTGATTTCCGCATCCATCGCTTTGCGCCACTCCTTGCTGTGTGGTCCCATGAGTGCTTGGCGCGGATTCTTTGGCTCGATGACACGTGGTGCCGTTGAGGTGGCAGTGTGGAGCCCGAGAAGTTGAAGTCCCGAAACGGTGCTGTTGTGGGGTGCTGCGGGATGACTTCCTGCACATCGTCATCGTCGCTTTCTGGTTCATGTGGTGTTGGAGGTGCTGCGCCTCCGCCGCTTCCGCTTCCGCCTCCGCCTGATACGCCTGCTCCTCCTCCAGGATGTGAAGAAAGAAAACAGGAATGAGAAAGGATGGAGCGGAAGTGAGAGGTTCACTAGCAAACATTGGGATACATATAGCAAACCCTAAAAGGGTTGTACTCACTATAGAGTACCCCACTGCAGACTAGAGAAACATAATATTCTGACACACCCCCATAGTCAAAGTGGGGTATGATCAGCACAAGAAGCAAAGCAAAATAAGCTCAGGGTGGATCACAATGTCACCACACATTCTGAGCACAAGCAACAGTTTAAAGTTCACAATTATAAGCCAAGCTAGAGGCTATCACAGAGGGCAAGTGAGGAGGAGGCGGGACTGTAAGAGGAGAGGAGATAGGAGGCGACGGCTGAAGCTGCAGACACACGGGCAACAGGAGTCACACTGGCACAGTGGCTACCGGAACAGCGCCCCGGACTACAGGAGTAACTGGCTCGGCGGCTAACTCTGAGCGGCAGGAGCAACGGACCCACGGGCGACTGGCGCAGCTGGCTACGACTGGGCTACCGGAGCAGCGCCCCGGACTACTGGTGCTGCTGACGACACGACGACCGCCTCCATTCAACCTCCCCCAACTGTCCCACCCCCCTTCACACACCCCTTGCTGCACCTCTAACTCTGCTCACACGCCACACCCTAGCACCACGCCGTCAGCTCCCACACACCCACCCCCTAGCACCACTCCATCGGCTCCCACACACCCACCCCCCTCAGCGGCAGCTGCA